ACCTGTCAAGTTTGATTAATGCTGGGGTGGGGGTAAAGGGCATAAAGATCATAAAACAATACACCTGTCAATTTGATTTTTGGTGGGAAAGGTCATAAAGGTGAAAGAACAATAGACCTGTCAAAAAGTTTGATGAAGGGTGGTGTGTTATATCTCTGCTGAGTGATTCTGAAGGCAAGTGGTCACAAACTGCTGCTTTTCATAGATCCCCCAGGTCATTTCCTTTGACAAAAACAGACTGTAGAAGCTCCATTTAGACGGGGAAATGGCAGAAAAGCCCACACGAAAAGCTGTCAGACAGAGATAAGTCACAGCTTATTTTGCCTCTGTAAATTGGCACTTTGACTTCCTGAATGTTTTTGTTGCTGGCAGTGCTGCAGCAAGTTGAAGAAGACTGATAATATAATTTCCCTCCGATGATGCTGTCCTGCTGGTGCCTCATGCATATGCAGCTCATGAGCTGGTGATTCCTCACTAAAACCCTAAACAACCATCTGTCACTTGTGGTTCAGCAGACAGAAATCACTTCTTGATGACTAGGGATGGGTACCTTTGACATTTGAATCGATCCGGTTCTAATTCCCGGTACCTACAAATCGATACCGGTACTTAACGGTACCAATTTTCGATACTTTTGAGTTTTTATTTTAATTCTCTTTTATAATTAAACATATATTTTTCTCTATATATAACAATATTTGATAAATATCACGATAAATAACATTCAACTGTTTGTATTTTAACATCGTCCTTGTAGTTTTATAAGCTGATAATTAAACTGAAGCAAACATCTTTACTGTGAACTAAATTTACTGAGTATCTTCATTCCTTTTGCCGTCTTTTTTGATTTGATTTTTCCTACTGGGAAGTTAGAATTTCCGAGGAGAAAGTGAACGCACCATTAGCTGATAACAACGGTGGCAATGGAAGCTAACATATTAAGCTAACGTTATCTTTAACAGTTTATTTAACTGCTGGAGCAGATTAAAACGATGATGCCTCACACTTAGATCGTTGTCGCTGGTTTCTTCTTCACCCAATCACCCGTCGCATTTAGTAAAGTGAAGCCAAACTTTAGAGCGCGTTCATGTTCTTCTAGGCAGAAATTCGGAGTTCCGAGGAGAAGGCGAACGCACCATTAGCGAAACGGAAGCTAACATATCAAGGTAACGTTATCTTAAACATTTTATTTACCTACCGGAACAGATTAAGATGAGGATGACTCACTTAGATCGTTGTCTGTCGCTGGTTTCATCATCACCCAGTTACCCATCACATTTAGTGAAGCAGACCCAAGCGTTAGCGTGCGTTCTTTCTACCCATGCTGCTCTGTTTACAACTCACTCGCAGGGACCGACGACATAACGCTCTTGCGCATGCGCAGCTGTCTAGGCAAGTTCTCGTTATGATGGACGGGTACCGAAACGAGGCACCGCTTGAAATGACGTGAATCGGTGCTCGGTCGGTACTATGGAATTCGGTCGGTACCTTAAAAAGTACCGAATTCGGTACCCATCCCTATTGATGACCATCGTCATCAGCACACATGATACAGTACTGAGGGAGTTGCTTTGCTGAGAATTCATCATTTATTTAGAGTTGCAGTATTGGGACAAAGCTGTAGATTCCCCGTGTGTCAGCTGTGCTGTCGGGAATATATGTAACGTCATGTAATGGCCTGATTTTGAGACTCACAGATCAGATACACAGCCTGGGTCACCTTGCCCTGGCTATGACTCAAGTCTGCAATAGAGTCCTTCACTCCTTTAATCTATGCAGCTGTCTGCTTATCTGACTGCTATTCCATCCACAGCAAGAAGAGGACATTTCAAGATTTAAAATAATCGTTTAAATAAACTCTTTTTACTGCTAATCATCAAGGTTCATTATAACAGTGTTTAATTACCGAAATGAATTATTATTGTTTGTTTAATAATTATTTATGAAAATCAGTAATGTTTAACTATGACAAGAGTCATGTGCACTTACGCTCACACAGGTCACAGTAACTAGGTTAAAGGTAACTTACGCTCACATGATCTTTTCCCATAACACCAGAACGTTCTGAGCTGCTTTTTAAGATCAAGGTAAACTTGTTCAATTTGGGGTTAAAAACAAACGTTTTCACATATTTTCCATGCAGTTTTTTTTGCCAGTTCCTCTTCTGAAAGGTAGACAATTGTTTTTCTCTTTCCGTCAGAAAATCTTAATTTTCTCCTAGTTTGGCCCGGCACAGTTCACTTCCCAATTACAGCAACAGCCTTATATCATAACCACATAAGTGGAGAAAATGTTCAGTAGCAATGAGAGAATTTGCTGTTGCATTTAAGTGATGCTACAACCCTAGTGACAACCCTAGTAAACACCAACACTTGTCAAAACGGCAAATTTGACCACCGACTCCAGAGGGTTAAGCAAGAGGACAAACCTGACCCCAGACCAGATCTGTACCTTCCTCTGCCTTTCTGTCACCCATTTCAAACACAACAACATGTTTTACCTGCAAAAACATAGATGCGCTACGAGCTCCCCACTATATCACCTGTCGTTGCCAACATTTACATGGAGGAAGCGGGAAACAGTAGCCTAGTGAACTAGACCAAATTCTTGCTCCGCAGCTCCTACCAGGACTCTGGCTAGCCAATCACAGCTTTCTAGAGGGGTTCCAAACACATAAAGAGCTGTGATTGGTCCATAATGGTGGGTCAATCATAGTACTCTATCTGCTTAGTGAACAAATCACAGAGCTTTATCTGCTTTGTGGGCCAATCAGGGCACTCTATATGCCTGGTGGGTGGGATGATGCAACAGAGTGAAACAAGAGTATGTCACATTCTTTGTCCAGTGGAATGCGGAGATCATTTGAAGGACAACGGTAGAACCCGCCCCACAACCGAGAGCCGTCAATGGAGTGTGGCCAGACTAAATAATACATTTATTTAGTCTGGCTTGCCAGGCTAGGGAAACAGAGCATTGAACTCCTACAATGCAACAACACCAAGCCACTGGTTCAGGTATGTGGATGACACCTGGGTCAAAATTCTCACTCAAGTAATAGAATGCTTCACCAAGCACATCAGTGCCATGGAGGGAGGATGCCCACAACAACATACTGCCCTTCTTGGACTGTGCTGCGCAAATTCAACAAGATGGAAGTCTACAGGAAACCAACTCACACAGACCAGTATTTGCATCCCCACATGTGCAATTCATTTTCATGCCCTTTCTGGAGCTCTGCATCCACACTACAGCAGATGTAAATGCTCTGTTTGAACTCAATGATTTCTGATCTATGCAAAAGTGGACCGTATCTATTCTGCATTCAGTGTGAACGAAGCTTCATGCCCTCTCTCAGGCCTAGTCCACACGTAGCCGGGGTTTTTTAAAAACGAATATCCGCCCCTCCAAAAACTTGCATCCACACCACCGCGTTTTAAAAACAAACTCTGTCCACACGTACCCGGATAAATACGTTGTTAAGGACATGCCAGACCTGTAGGCGGCAGTACTTTCCCCGTTCTTAACCTCGTCCTTCGTCTGTGGTCTTCCGCAAGGAGCAGTAGTTCCACTTGCAAAAACAAACAAGCAAAAAGCGCTTGGACAATTGATGGATCGGGTAGTGACAGAGCGCAGCTCTGAGGGCTTCCATGCTGTCGGCTAGTGTAAACACAGGTCGCACACGTGATGTCAGCATTTTTTTGTCGCGGAAAGTGACGTTGCGGACCTTAAAACTCCGGTTTTGTCCGTCCACACGCAGACACCCAAAATGGAGAAAACACAGATCTTCACTTTGGCCGGAGATTTTAAAAAGATCCGTTTTCGTGTGAAAAAACTCCGTTTTCGTGTGGATGACAGGCCAAAACGTAGAAAAATATCTACGTTTTGGCAGATCCCCGGCTACGTGTGGACAGGGCCTTAGTAGCAGAGCATCATGCAGCTGCAGCCCTGCTCTGCTTTTCTTTACTTAGTGTTCCTTAACCCTGGTCCTCAGGGGTTATAGGCCAGACCCGAGGTGCACATCAGCTGGTTGTAATGTGATCACTGACCACTAGTTACTGGTTGGGAATCCCTGCTCTAGATCAGTGGTATTCAGTAGGTGGCCCAAAAGCCTCTTCTTTCTGGTTCCCGGACCCCCCCCCCCCCCTTCCAATTACCCTATACTCTGTCAAAATGTTCCAGGAGGAACACCACATAACTCTCAATAACAAATATTTCAGTCACCTCTCAGAATTTTGTCATACAGCACCCTGAGGTTACCTGAGGTTACAGGCCACAGCTGTAAGCAAACTTAACAGATGCAAGAAAAAAATACCCTCAGCTATTCGTGCATTGCATCAAGCATCAAGACATTTCACTGAAACCAGCAATGGACCACCAATGCTTTAAACCCACCATTTATCTTTGAAAATACATTTTTCAGCGTTAACCTAAAGATAGTCAGTTGCATTGAGCTAATCTTTTCTGGTTATAAAAGGCATTTGTCCGATAGTGAGCTATCTCTTTATAATGGTCCCACAAGCTTTCATCTTATCAATGGCTCTAATGTTCATGTTCAGGGCGATGGTGGCACAGGAGTTAAGTGCTCGCCCCGTAATCAGAAGGTTGCAGGTATGAGTCTTGCTCAGTTTGTCGCTGTTGTTGTGTCCTAGGGCAAGACACTTAACCCACGTTGCCTGCTGGTGGTGGTCGGAGGTGCCAGTGCTCGGCAGCCTCGCCTCTGTCAGTGCGCCCCAGGGCAGCTGTGGCTACACTGTAGCTCATCCCCACCAGTGTGTGAATGTGTGTGTGAATGGGTGAATGACTGGTTGTGTTGTAAAGTGCCTTGAGGGGTTCCAGGACTCTAGAAGGCGCTATATCAAATACAGGCCATTTACCGTGTTATTATCCTTTTTGCTGTCCCTCTATCCTCCGCTCTGTCTTGTTAACTCTTCTGTGACATCTCTCTCTTTTTCTGTCGTTTAGTGTGCTTAACATAATTTTCATTATTTTCTGCTCCTCAGGTTAACAAGCAGCAGCTTCAGACTGTCAAGGAGCACTTCCTGGCCTTCATCAATGGGGAAACTCAGATTGTGGCTGATGAAGCTTTCTGTAACGCAGTCAGAAGCTACTATGAGGTAAGATGAGGTGATTTCTCTGTATCAGAAACCGATTGGCCTGAATCAATCCTTTCTCTTCCTTTATTGGTGTCATGACAACATGTGAGAACTTCTGATAATATTAAAGATCGCACTAAATAATATTGTTTCTTCCTTTTGGTCTTGAAGCGCCTACAAAACATTTAATCATACAATAATTGGACCACTTTTTTTCCCCAGGTTTTATTATAATCTTTTGTTTACTATTTCACCGCAGGTACCTATTGATTGCATATGCTTTAGGGGTGTTACTATCAGCTTGGCACATATAGAGGATGAAATTCTTGCCAATTCTTTGCTGCATAAAAGCTCAAGCTCACCCAGGTTGGATGGAGAGCCTCTGTGAACAGCATTTTCAGGTCCTACCACAGATGCTCACTGGGATTTAGATCTGGACTCTGACTGGGACGTTCTAAGATGAATATGTGATCTAAAGCATCCCACATTAGCTCCTGCTGTATGTTTAGGGCCATAGGCTTGTTGGAAGGTGAATCTTCCCAGTCTGAAGTCCTTTGCAGCCTCCTACAGGTTTTCTTTCAGGATTGTCCTGTCTTTAGCTCCACCCTGCTGAAGAAAAGCATCCCCACAGCATGGTGCTGCCTCCACCATGTTTTACAGTGGGGTGGTGTGTTCAGGGTGATGAGCAGTGGCACTTTTCAATAGTTTTTAGGCTCAAAAGTTTGGTCTGACCAGAGAACTTTCCACATGTCTGCTGTGTCCCTACATGGCTCCTGGCAAACTGCATCCAAGACTTTTAATGTCTTTCTGTCAACAACGGCTTCTTCTTTTCACTCCTCCATTTAGGCCAGAGTTGGGGAGTGCCCAACTTACAGTTGTCCTGTGGACGCACGCTCTCACCTGAGCTCTGGATTTCTGTAGCTCCTCCAGAGTGACCATGGGGCTTTTGGAAGCTTCTCTAACCAGTGCTCTCCTTGCTTCATCTGTCAGTTTACGTGAACGGCCAGGTCTTGGTAGCTTTGCAGCTCTTTATTCATTTTTGGATGGTGGATTGAACATTGCTCTTTGAGATGTTCAAAGCTTGGGATATTTGCTAAGCCTGCTTTAAACTTATCTACAACTTTATCTCTGACCTTTCTGGTGAGTTCCTTTGTCTTCATGATGCTGTTTGTTCTATAATGTTCTCTAACAAACCACTGAGGCCTCCATAGAACATGTTTATTTATAATGAGACTAAATCACTCATAGGTGAACTCTATTATTATCTAATTAGAGGACTGCTGAAGGCAATTGTTTAGGATGAGTGGCATCTGGCATCAAAATTGCAGCCCTCCACTAGGCTAGAAAGGGGTACGGGGTGTTCTCCATGCAGCTTGGTGAAAATCAATCAACTGTTGTAGCAATTGTTAGAAAAAGGAAGAGGCTAAAGTCGGCTGTCAGTCTCCATCAGACGAGGGCTCCATGCAAGATCTCACCTGGTAGGGTATCACTGATGACAATAAAGGTGAGGAATTAACCCAGAACCAAACGGGAGGAGCTGGTCAATGACATGGAGAAAGCTGGGACCACAGGCTCAAAGATCACTGTTGGTAGTACACTATGCCTTCATGGTTTAAAATCATGCATTACATGGAAGGTTCCCCTTCTTGAGTCATCACATGTCCAGGCCTGTCTGAAATCTGCCAATGACCATCTGGATGATCCAGAGGAGGCATGGGAGAGCATCATGTAGCCAGATGAGATCAAAATAGAATGTTTAGGTCTAAACTCCACTCGCTGTGTTGGGAGGAAAAAGACGAGTTACATCCCAGGAACACCATCCCTACTGTGAAGCATGGGGATGGAAACATCATGCTTTGGGGGTGCATTTCTGCCAAGGACACATGACAACCATAAAAATCCTAAACACTATCATCAGGTTGCACACAGATCAAAGGTTAAAGTTTCATTTTGGCATGGGTACAGTAATGAAATCATTAGCATTTGGAGTTTGAGTGTTGATGCCATAAATTGCAGATTTTAGTAGCATTTTAATATGAATTAGACAATTGAAAAACATGAGAACAGTTATTTTACTCTTTAAATAATAATTTCTCTTTCACTATGGCAACAGTGAAAGGCAGCATTTCCATTCTTTCACTCTTTCTTCCTAACATACAGAAGATTTTTTCACTACTTTTGAGTGTCGCCACAGGTATAGAAACACTTTGTGTTCTAAGTACTAAATTGATCTAATTTGGCTTAAATTGGACAATGTCCAGTTGCTATGGAGACAAACAAATTGTGTTTGGTCATAGTCCACGTGGTGTCTCTGATCTGTTTTTACTTTTTTGTGACTTACATGAAAAAAAATGTGTTTAAAGGCATAATTCCAAACTCTTTGAACGATGTGACTCTGTTAAAGAATCTTGTTTGTGATAATGAAGGTGATTTTGTCCCTGATGAGTTGGTGGTACCTGTAGAAAACAATGTTTTCACTGAAACTTCAACACAAACTGGGGGCTCCCTTCTTGCTGGGTTAGATGAATCCTATGTAGAATTATTAAAACATCTGATAACACTCTAACCCCCTCCTGATATCTGACAGATGTCCCAAACATCAACCGTATCTCCAGGAGTACCTTATTCCAACTCAAAACCATAGCTCCACATCTCCCTTCACACTCCTTCTGCAGGTCTGAAACAGGCCTTCGTCACACTGAGACTGGATCACTGCAACAGCAGAGCAAGGCACAGGTCTGATTGTGAGAAAGGTTTATTTTAAACAAACATCCTGAAACATTACAAAAGAACAGAACAAAGATGGACATTTTCTCATTTTGATGCCAGTTTAATAATCAAACAGCCATCTAAATATAAATTCTCAAAATCTGTCTGCTTGTTTTAAGAGTAGCAATAAAACGGGCAAATAAGAAGAATGATTTATATCAGGGAAAATTTGAGCAGCTTTAAAAAACAAAAATCTAAATTATAAAACGGACATTGTCGATGCTTAGAAAGACAAGAATTGTCATTTCTTATTGTTCTCCGTTTTTCATAAGGCTAGTAGCTGGAGAAAGCCCCTCCCCCAGGACTGATCACACATCTAACCATATCCAAATTTCTGCGCCTGCCTAAACAGTTATTGCACATTTTCTGTAAATCCTTTGTTTCACTTCTATGATATGACTGTGTGTGTCTCCTATATGATATATTTAGCAACAGTTTATACAGGAAAATCATGAATTGTAATATACAATAACTCTTTGAAGACTTGATTATTATTCTGATCTACTACAGCAATCAATTTCCCTCTGGGATTAATAAAGTATTTTTGAATTGAATTGAATTGAATAGCATTCTGTGATGTGCACAGACACGTTGGAAGCTTGACGAGTGCAAACAAACTTTCACAGAGAAGAAGCGGATTTGGATGAAAGAAAGTGTTGAACAACATCATAAAATCCCAAACAAGATGCAAAAATATACAGGGGTATGCTAAATAAAGACTTTGGGGACCAGTATGTGGACAAAATCAGCATTATAAATGGTTTTTATCCAAGACCGGAGCACCAATGACGTATTGTTGCCGCCGCAGTTCTGCATAACAGATATCTTCGGCTATTTGGTGTGAGCGGATGTCAACGTTCGGATGAGAGGTAAGCATTTTATTTGTTGTTTTTTCTTGTAAAACAATCAAAACCATCCCATAAAGTGTAGCAGGAGAAGTTGTGTTGTGTGTCAGTGCACCTGCATTAGCTGTGTGTGTGTGTGTGTGTGTGTGTGTGTGTGTGTGTGTGTGTGTGTGTGTGTGTGTGTGTGTGTGTGTGTGTGTCACAGTTGAAGGAAAGAAATGATGTACAAAAATGTACGCCATCTGTAACTTATGTAATGAATCAATAGAGGGTAAATTGGATTAAATAAATTGCTTAAGAGCTATTTATTATTATTGTCATTACTTGTGACCCATAGCTGTGATAATCTATTAATTATACAGTGGGGCAAAAAAGTATTTAGTCAGCCACCGATTGTGCAAGTTCCCCCACTTAAAATGATGACAGAGGTCAGTAATTTTCATCATAGGTACACTTCAACTGTGAGAGACAGAATGTGAAAAAAAAATTCATGAATTCACATGGCAGGATTTTTAAAGAATTTATTTGTAAATCAGGGTGGAAAATAAGTATTTGGTCAATAACAAAAAATCAACTCAATACTTTGCAACATAACCTTTGTTGGCAATAACAGAGGTTAAATGATTACTATAGGTCTTTACCAGGTTTGCACACACAGTAGCTGGTATTTTGGCCCATTCCTCCATGCAGATCTTCTCGAGAGCAGTGATGTTTTGGGGCTGTCGCCGAGCAACACGGACTTTCAACTCCCTCCACAGATTTTCTATGGTGTTGAGGTCTGGAGACTGGCTAGGCCACTCCAGGACTTTTGAATGCTTCTTACGGAGCCACTCCTTTGTTGCCCGGGCTGTGTGTTTGGGATAATTGTCGTGTTGGAAGACCCAGCCACGCTTCATCTTCAAAGCTCTCACTGATGGAAGGAGGTTTTGGCTCCGAATCTCACGATACATGGCCCCATTCATTCTGTCCTTAACACGGATCAGTCGTCCTGTCCCCTTAGCAGAAAAACAGCCCCAAAGCATGATGTTCCCACCCCCATGCTTCACAGTAGGTATGGTGTTCTTGGGATGCAACTCAGAATTCTTCTTCCTCCAAACACGACGAGTTGAGTTTATACCAAAAAGTTCTACTTTGGTTTCATCTGACCACATGACATTCTCCCAATCCTCTGCTGTATCATCCATGTGCTCTCTGGCAAACTTCAGACGGGCCTGGACATGCACTGGCTTCAGCAGCGGAACACGTCTGGCACTGCAGGATTTGATTCCCTGCCGTTGTAGTGTGTTACTGATGGTGACCTTTGTTACTGTGGTCCCAGCTCTCTGCAGTTCATTCACCAGGTCCCCCCGTGTGGTTCTGGGATTCTTGCTCACCGTTCTCATGATCATTTTGACCCCACGGGATGAG